TACATAGTTCTTTTTTTAAAAACGTGGATGTGAGGCGCTAGTGTACGAGGAAGATCGTCGGTCCCACACATAAAGCCGGCGTGGCCGCTCTCACGCTTCTCTCTGACTATAGATAGAACTTAAAATTCGAATAACATGGGTTTCCGTGAACCATATGAAGTATAAAAATGGCGGTCCTTTTTTTGCAGCTGTGTGGAAAATGTGGAAAATCGAAAAAATTTGTTGTACGTCTTTCTCATTATATCTAAGCAACTAAAGTCGGTAACATAGAAAAATATAACATTTTGATTAAATACATATTACCTAACAATTTTTAAGTACGCTAATGAAGTATAGTATTAATATTTTATTAGTATTTTTTTTTTTTTAAGAGTTGTAATTAACGATAACTGTATTATAAAATGAGCATAATTTTACTCAGTATCACACACTATGATATAATAAACAATACAAATAGACAACTTTATTTTTCCATTAATATTTTTTATTTAAAACAATTTTTCTAAAATATGTCACATTACAATTTCAAACAAAATTAGAAAAGATAAAATGCGGTCTAAAATGGATCTTGATGGTTGGTAATGTTATTTTTGTGCGACAAAAAAAACAAATCTTACAAATTTCCAGGCATACTGCGCGCCGCATATTCGACGGTCTTGAAACACAGCCTTACATTAAAGCCAGACTACGTAATATCACAATTAAATTGATAAGCAATATAATAATTTTTTATGCTAATGAGCATCTTATTCTTAATAATTATTTCTTTTATGGAAAAACTTATTGTCATATTATAATTTATGTATACATAATTTTTGAGACATTTTATATATACAAATAAAATATAATTTTTATTTACATTCCAAACTTGAATACTCGCGCTCCGAAGTTTCAATACTTTACTTAAGCTAATACAGCACACCTAAAGCCTAAATTTCCAGCTGACGTATCAGGTGTATTTTGACTACGCGCGGCGCATCTGTATCTGTAGCAATAATTTTTGTGACATAAATATGAACCACCTTTCTTCACTTTATCACTACCATTAGAAGGACCAATCTAAAAATATATCCAATGAAAACCATTTCATTAAAATTATAATATACATAAAAATAGATGTCATAATATTTTTGAATTTAAAAAAAATAAAGATTATTTTATTTAAAATTACATGTATCAATATTGCTCATTATTAGCTTTGACTTAATTACATATTACTTTGTTATAATAAAGCCTTATTTAAACAAATAAATGCTTACTGGATTTATATGTCGATCATGTGAGTGCTTTGTTATCCACCAATCTGCTGTCCATTCCCAAACATTGCCAACAATATTATGCAAACCATATTTATTTTGCAAAAATGTTGTAACTGGTGATGTGCCTTTGTATCCATCTTCTTCAGTATTCTCTGTAGGAAAATTTCCTTGCCAAATATTAGCTCTACAACATGATAAAATATATACAAATCCTTATTATAACAAATATTATGTGTTATTTATACATATATACAGAGTGTCCAAAAAATCGCCCGCAATACTTCAGGAAGTGATTTGAGACCCAAAAAAGAGAAAAAAAGTTACATAAACATAGGTCCGAAAGTAAGTCGTTTCCGAGTTATAACCACTTTTATGTTAAAAAAAATTGTAATTTATTTTTTATAATCATAATTCATAATAATAAAATAATTTATAATAATTATAAATAGTTATAATTCATTTTCTTTACCCAGGATTCATTACGTGGGGATATAGTCCGCTTGACACCTTCTTTTTTAATTTTATTTTTTAGATTTGAAGAAATAAAAAGAAATCCCCCAAACGTTTCTCAAAAAGTTCGGAATTCCTTTGATAGAAGAATAAGGACCTACATTTGTGCTGAAGGTGATCCTTTTGAACATTAATTCGATTTAAATACATGTTTGTTTATCCTTAATTCTAAAAACAATGTAATTGTATTACAATACAAATATTGAATTTAAAAAATATATAAAAAAGAGATACCAAGCAGACTATGCCTCCATGTAGTGAATCCTGGATAAAAAAATAAACTTTATTATTGTGAATTATGATTGTTATTATAATTACAATTATGAAAAATAAACTACAATTTTCTTAACATAAAAGTGATTATAACTCGGAAACAACTAATTTCCAGACCTATGTTTATATAACTTTTTTCCTTCTTTTTAGGTCCCGAATAATCTCCTGAAGTATTACAAGCAATATTTATTTATAACAGAAATTTCAGTTATATAAATATAAGTTTAACCTACTTATGCTGATTGTTTGGCGTCAATTTATTTCCCCAAGGATACAGTCTATCAGAAAGTCCACCGCGACATGCAACTTCCCATTCTGCTTCAGTTGGCAATCTCTTTCCTACCCAACTACAGTAAGCAACTGCATCATTCCAGGAGACATGAATAACAGGATGATCCATTCTGGCTAAATACCATCTAATTAATTTATCAATTTAAATAAAAAAGCTTTATAATACTTGTTATAAATATTATTAGAAAATATTATAAATGCAATATTTTATTTTTCATTTTTAATTTTTTTACATACAAGTGATATTTGAGTTGGGACCTTCTGGATGTTGCCATGAGGCTTGCTTTACAGGTAACCACCAAGGAGCTTGTGCAACTGCCTTATTGATTTTGTCCTTTGTACTTTGTGTCAAGAGGTCCTCGAAGACAAAGGAATCCCCAAAGTTTTCTGCTTCGGTTATATATCCAGTGGCATTTACAAAAGCCATAAATTCTTTATTACTCACTTCAAATTTGTCTATGTAAAAATTATTTAATACTACTTCGCGTCTTGGTCCTTCTCCGTCGGCTACGAAAACTGGATTGTTTGTTCCTATGAAATATGTACCGGCGTTAATTTTAATCATTTTTTCTATTTGCTTTTCTATTATATTAGTTGTGTCCAATTTTCTGTTATTTACACTACAATATCCTTCCCGGAAATTAAAAATTAATTGTCGATTCAATTTATTGCATTGACAGTTATCATTAACTTTTCCAGCATTCACACACAAATAGAAATATCCAATTATCATTTGAATTTTATAGAAACAATTCAAAAAAGTCACTTTCTTATACCAAAACATGTTTTTGTTCTAAATTATTTTAATCACGAGTTCAGCAACAGGTTCTTATTTGCAACCATGGACATACGAAATACCTAGACGAAGAACAAATTTAGAATCAGCGTCGCCAATTCAAGTAATACATGGTCTTGTCGTTTGTCTTGAGAACTGCCATCCTCCTGATTGGCTGAAAATGCTGAAATGTTATGATACAATGATTTAACCCTTTCAAGCATACATTTTTCCTTAGCTGCGTTCCGCAAAGCGCATTATGCGCAAGATTTATCTTTTTATCTTTGTTTACCATTTGATGAACAACAAGGATACCATGATATATCATGCGCATG